ATCCTGTAATAACAAAAGATGCTGCAAACCCAAAAAGGATAACCACTATTATGAATAACGGGTACTCGATAATGTTTTGGTATGTCACGCAGGAAATGAATAACAATATAGTTATTCCTAATATTATTAGAGAAAACAAACTTGAGTGATTTAGCTTCTTGTCATTTATTATAGCATTTTCCATACTGTGTTTAAGTTTTTGCATCAACTCTATTATTGATTACTTTATCCATCTTATCAATAAATAATTTAAATTTTGTTAACTCATGACCGGACAATTTTATCTCTATTTTATGCTCTAGTATGNAAACCCAAAAAGGATAACCACTATTATGAATAACTGGTACTCGATAATGTTTTGGTACGTCACGTAGGAAATGAATAATAATATAGTTATTCCTAATATTATTATAGAAAACAAACTTGAGTGATTTAACCTCTTGTCATTTATTATAGTACTTTCCATACTATGTTTAAGTTTTTGCATTAACCCTATTATTGATTACTTTATCAATCTTATCAATAAATAATTTAAATTTTGTTAATTCGTGACCGGATAATTTTGTCTCTATTTTATGCTCTAGTACGAGCGGATCAATGTGTTTATTATGATGTATGATTTCATAGTGCAAATGAGGGCCCGTTGCATTACCCGTACTACCAACGTAAGCAATAACTTGACCTTGTTTGACTTTAGAACCTAATTTTATATTGTCGTTAAATTTGCTGATGTGCGCATAACAAGTTGTATAGTCATCTTTATGTTTTATTCTTATGTACTTACCATAATCACCATTATTCCCTATGTAATCTATATTTCCATCTGCAGTAGCGTATATAGGAGTGCCAAATTTAGTTGCATAGTCTACTCCTTTATGAAAAGCGGTATGACCGCGAATAGGGTGTTTTCTATTGCCAAACTTTGAAGATATACGATAATCTTCATTTAAAGGCTTGATGAAAAAAGTATTATTTTTTAGAGTGATTCCTTCTTTATCAAAATGTCCTTCCTTGCCATCCTGCGACTTATAGTAGTATAAGTTAATAACTTTGTTATGAATTGTGAGTGAAGTATATAAAATCTTTTCTTTACCATTTTTATGCTCAGAAGATCTTTCAAGTAAAACCTCTAACTTGCTTTCAGGTGTGATATCTTTTTTAAAATTTACATCTATATTTTTATATATATTAATTAATCTCATCACTGTATTTGGTGCCAATCCTTGCTCAACCCCAGTTGTAAACAAAGAAGATTTTATATTACTTGATATCAATAAGATTTTTGCTGATGTTAAGCAGGTCTCTATTGGCTCATTAGTTTTCTTGGGAATCCTGATTTTTGATGTTGTCGATATATTTTTTAAATGCGCTTGAGCACTACACTCGCCTAAAAATTTCTCACTGCACAAGGAGCTCACAGGAGTGTTGCCTGCTGTTTCTATAATTGGTAAAGTAGAAAATAGTACTACTAGAATTAGTTTCATATTAATGAATAAGAAGGCGTAATAGAAAAAGCGTTAAACGCTTTATCTTTTTTCTTGCTAGAAAGACTGCCTTTTTTTTTGCTATTTTTAATCTTTTTTAGCATGCTTAATGTTTTGTAGGCTTTTTTACCCTCAGGTTTCTTAAACGTTGCTT